TTTATGTCAGGTTCGAGTCTTGAATCCACAATCAGCCATCAAGTTTATGTATGATATATTGACTATCATGTAATGAAATCTCTAACCTCGATATGACCGGTTTATTACAGTAGGTATGCCACATAAAACTTATTTAATAAAACAAGCCATGCCAACCTAGGGGGATCCATGGATTGAATGACCGTATACATGTTGAAAAAAAATTAAAAAAGAATATAATATTAAAATATATCGGTTAGATGCCTTACACATGTCCAATTTTGTGTCACGAAGATGAGTCAATGGATAACATTCCTGTCATGGGTCATGTTCACGTTAATGTCATATGCACAAATAAGTTTGTATACCACTTATTAAGTAAGCAGTACAAAATACAGTAAATAAATAGAAGAAGAGATAAAATAAGGTTTATAATAACTTGATTAACGTGACTTATGTCCACTTTAAATGGCAAAAGTCGTCGGGTATTTTATTAACTAAAATGTGTAGGGAGAGCAGAGAGTTACAAGCTTAGAGAGGGAGAGGAGAGTTGTGCTCGACTAAATATGATCTGCCCCCAAAGTGTTGGCGAAACTTAATTTATAGTTTCCTCATAACGCATAGTAATTGAATAGCTAGTCTGACGGTTATAACGGATTAAAGTGATTTAATAGTAATTAAATAGCTGATTCGATAGAGGTGACAATCTCTTCTCAACGGACAAGACAGTTATAATACTCTCCATAAAATTCGGTCAAAAGATGAGGTGAGGGCTGACTCTTTCCAAGGCGACGAGGATAAGACTCTTGGGTGACCCTTACTACAAAGTAGCTAGGATAAGACTCTTGGATGACCCTTATTCCAAGGTGAGTAGAAGGAGGTTCTTGGATGACTTTTACTCTAAGGTGGCTAGGATGAGATTCTTGGATGACCCTTGCATACTTCACTGTTGATGTAGCTCTTCAAACTTACGCTAGATCTTTTGGAGTTGAACTCTTAATTTAAATTGAATTCATGACATGAGTGGGACCCTTGAGCCTATCCCATCAGTATTTGGATTAAATTACTTGACAATCTCAAAAAATGAATATAATACGTTTAATAAATATAAAACGGCACCATGTAAGTAACTAATATTTCAAAGCCAAACTTCATAACTTCATAATGCAAATCCTTTTTCAATATTTGCTTTTACAATCTTATTATACATGTGGACATCTGATTACAAACTTTATGTCAATGAATTCAAGACCTCTCTAGCAATTGATTGCAAACATTTCCTCACAAGGCTTATCCAAAAGCTCACTCGCAGAAGCATACAAAAAAAAGAAGAAACAACCCAATATGTAGACCCATATCAGCACGCTGCTATCTTTTCTTATTTATCTGTTTTGGCCTCACCCACTTGCTGGTCTTGGTCTTGATCTTCAGCACCCTCTTTTTTTTCTTCAAGAGAGGAGTCTCCATTGTTGTCTTGGGTTCACTATCTTGCAAAACAGTACCTAACTTAGAAGTATCTTCTTCTTTAGCACCCTCTTTTTCTGCAAGAGAGGAGTCTCCATTGATCTTCTTAGGTTCATCATCTTGCAAACCAGTCCCTAACCTTGAAGTATCATCTTCATTAGCACCCTCTTTTTTTGTAAGGGAGGAGTCTCCATTGATCTTCTTAGGTTCAACATCTTGCAAACTATTCCCTAAATTTGAAGTATCTTCTTTCTTGTACCTATACCACCAGGACCAAAACAGATAGTTCCCAAAGTTGATGCAGCTAAGCACAGCCAAGAACCAATAGAACAGATTCAAATTGTTCTTATCCAAGTCCTGTCCATACAACCACCCATGTCTACTCGGCGCAATTTTCTTGGTCACCAAGTTAATAATATCCACGAACACAGTGCTGAGAAAATAGCCAAACGAGAGTGAAATCCAAGTAAATGAAGTAGATAGCGATTTCATTCCCGCAGGCGCTTCTCTATAGAAGAATTCCAGCAATCCCACCATCGTAAACATGTCGGCGATCCCAAAAATGGAGAACTGAAATGTGAGCCAAAACAGACTGATGGGCTTCAATGGTGTTTTGATGGATTGATTCCTTCTTTTCACCTCTACAACGCCTGCGATGACCATGGAAATTATGGAGAGAACAAGGCCGACTCCAACGCGTTGGAGCTGGGTGATCCCTGATGGGTGTTTAGTGATTTTTCTAGCGAAGGGGACGAAGAGAAATTCGTAGATGGGAAGGAGAATGGACATGATGATTAGTGGGATTACTGGGACTGATGGTGCTGGGACTTCAAATGAGCCTAAGTAACGATCCATTATGCTGCTTTGTTGGACAGAGAATGTTTGGAGTTGTGCCAAACAGGTGTTCATTAGGATTGTGCTGGCTATTATGGGTAACATTCTTGTTAGAATCTTCACTTCTTCAACTTGGGTCACTGTGCATACTGTCCATGGTGAGGGTGAAGAGCCATTGTCAAGAATTGCAGCTTTGTCGAGGCACCTGCTCCAGGAAACAGATTTGTTACACATATATGTGCCACATAGCCTGGTCAACGGATTGAATTTTGACTGATTCAAATTTGAAGTCAATTTTAAAAATTTGATCCGATAATTTGATAAATTTTATTTTCATGATCAATGTCTGAATCTGTTAAAATTTGAAATTTGATCCGATTTGAATAGCTTAATTAACTAAATTTTAATAAATTATGCCTAAATTTTAACTAAATTTCTTTCAATAATCACTTATTTTTTTATTTATATAAAAATATATAAATAATTTGAATCGGATCATAATTGGATTGGATCGGACGTAGGTATATCCAAATACGAATTCATGAAATATAAAATATTAAATTTGAATTCAGGTTCAAATTATCAATAAAAAATATCAATTCATATTTCGGCTAACAGAATTTGAATTTGGATATTCCATATTTGAATCAAAATTCAAATACATTGACAACATTACTGCCAAACCTGGCAAACCTTATTGTCTAGGATAAGTATGCTTATATCAAAAAAGGAAAAAATATGGGTACCTTACATAGCCTTGGATTTTTGTTTGATTAATTTGTAATCATTAATTGTAAAATTGAGGGAGTTATTATCAGTGCATAATTTATTGACCTAATTTAATAAGATTTTTATAAAATTAAAACTTAGTGTTGATCTAATGGTTCCACTGAAATCATTTCATAAAATTATCGAATTAAATCAAATTTATAAGTTTAAATAACAATACTCAAGAACAAATAGTCAACTTATACTTTTGACTTGCATGTCCTTTTGCGAGCAAAAGAATTTGCTTGTTTATATATCTCTTCCTTTTTACTTCTATTTCATTTTTATACTCTTTTGTCCAAAAGAGTGACTCCAAGATTCTTTCGTCACTAGAGACAGTTAGTTATTGAAAGATTGTTTTTGTGACTGATATGTTCAAAGTCCATATCTCACAATACATTAACTTTATCGTTTTATCACAACTCGTGGTTATAAATTATTTTAATTGGACAGAAATAATAATACCTAAATTGCTTGGTGTGTGCAATCTTGTCCTCCGTAGAAACTAATTCCTTTTCATTGATCTCATATAATTCACCAGGATTCTCTGGTACTGATAACCTTCGATTTTTAACTGCCACAACTATAACCTGTCAAAACCACCAATATGAAATGTCATTTCTTAGGATTATACACACATATACAAGAGAAATAAATGTAAAAGCTTGTGAAAACTAAAGATGTTAATCGACTAATGTCATGTTATGTTTGATTGTGTTGTTTTTGGTTGTCATGTTCGTGTAAATGGTGAACCAAAAGCTATAAGATGAGTATATTTTTATCTCTAAATCTATTTGATCCAAATCAAATTTATCATGCATTACAACACCAAAGAGTAAGAAAAAAAATATTAAGAGGACATTTTTTTTTTCAATTTTTCTTAGCATCAGAATAGGTTATTCGTGTCTAATTAACTCAGACAATCCGCATGTTTACTAGTTTACTGTTTGCTTTGATTCATTAATGTTGTGTTAAGATTGTGTTGTGTCCATGCTGACGAATAAAATTGATACCCCTAGCGAGAATCAACACCACCCATTTAGAGAGAGAGAGAGAGAGAGAGAGAGAGAGAGAGACCTGTGCAATTCTTGTGATGGGGCTGTCCCCGGGTGGTTGGATGCGGTAGAAAGGGCTTCCAAGTGCAAGAAAAACAAAACCCATGGATGTAGAAATCGAAGATATTAGAAAACCCAACCACCAACCTCTGTTGGTGCTGACCCAAACGATCACCGTGACTCCAACGGATGCACCCAAAGTAGTGCTAAGCAAAAGCCAGTTGAAGTAGCTGGCTAGAGCTTTGGCTTCTTTTGGGTCTTTCTGGTTGAACTGGTCAGCACCAAGGGGTGCTAGAGCACCCCTAACCCCACCACTGCCCAATGCAACTAAAGATAGAGAGGCATAGAACATGACTGCTATACCACCTTTTACACAACTTGACTTATTCCCACAGGCATGTGGTTGCAAGCTAGGGTAATGAGCTTGAATTGTCATCATCAACAAACCCTACAAGTATAACACCATAATGTTAATAAGCTTGTTCTACCAAAAATATATATAGTCATTTTGTGTGTTTGTTTCGATTAATTATCCAAAAGCTAGGGTTGTCAATTGAGATTATTGTGTCAGGTTCATATCTTACCATACATTTCAGATACAAAATCAGAATTTGCAAAACTAGGTCCATTTTTCTCTCAATCATAAAAATATGATTGATCCATGTTTTAGTAAATTAAAATCAAATAAGACTAACTCATCCTCTTTATTAGCCATATTAATTACTCTTATGTTTTTCTGGTTCAATTTGTGTGGGACTTGTTGTATTAAAAATTATTGCTTACAATATTACACTATATCACTCTTTGAAATATACAGTACTCTCTCAACTTTGAATTATGTGATGGTGGTCCTTAAGTTTTCAATGTCGTTTTATGTCGTTCAATTACTATCTTCCATGCAAATGAACTAAAATGACATAAAGAACGTATTTAAGGAACCAAAGTGAGACTGAACGCGTATTTCATTCGTGTCCATAAGTGTAATTTGCCCAAAAAATGTCATCTTTTTTATCACAACTTTTTTTCCACATAAAATACCATATAAGATGACCAAAATTTTATGGCAAAGCAAAAAGTAGATGTAAAAAAAAAAAAAGACGAAAAAAACAAAATATATTTACCAGAACTTCAACAAATCCGAAAATGAGACAAGTATGGAGTCTGTTCAAGAAAGTGTCTGATATGAAGGCACCAACAATAGAGAGCAAGAAAGTTGAACCCATGAGGTTTGTCAGGGTGTTGGCTGAGCCAGATAGATCAAAGTGCATCTTGTAAATGAAGTACAGGACCATGCTCACCATGTTCGCCACAAAACCCATGTTGTCCAATGCCACCAACGCTGTATATATATAGAGAGGGAGGAAGTGAATATTTAACACACACACACACACATGTATGTGTGTAAATAAATATATCTATATATATATATATATCATGAAGTTGCACTTGCATGCTGATCATATCAAAATTTAGAACAAATCAGTTGAGCAGCCCAATCCACCATACATAGCTACACTGAGTACATAGATTTTTGGAACTTTCATCTTCAAGCATGCACATGTTGAAAGAGTCACGATGTTGAGATAAAATCTGCTAACTGCATATTAGTAATGATAGAAAAGCCGTAAAGCCAAGGTGTTCTTCAAAAGACTAATCTGGCAACTGCTGGTTGTTGACAAGGAGGAGTCAAATAGGAATGGCAGCTTTTGAAAAGATTATGATTTGAAAAAAAATTTCCTTCCAAGGACAGATCTTCAAGTTTTGAGTTCCATTGTATTAATTAATCAATATATACATACATACATAAATACATATATGTGTGTGCGTGTGTGTGGGGAGCTAGCAGGAAACAAGTCTAACTTTGAGGTCTTGCTTACCATAAATGAAGAAGGTAGCTGTGAAACCACCTTTCTGTTTAGTTTTCCATGGGCTGCAGGAATTGTAGCCTGACTTGGTATCTTCCTCCTGTATGCACATGACATGAGACATGAAGTGTACTAGAGAGAGAGAGAGAGAGAGAGAGAGACTCACCATTGCTAGAACTTCAGGGCTTTGACGTTAGGAGGGAAACTTAAGGGAAGCTTGTCTTTTTTCTGTTCTGGTGGTAGAAGGGAAACGTGTGCATGTTTCTATAGAGAGGTGACCTTAGAGCTTAGACATATAGGCAAGAGAAATATCTTTGTATATAACGATAATCGCATCAGAGTGAACGCCATTTCCCCCCCCCCCCCCCCCTCTCTCTCTCTCTCTCTCTCTCTCACACACACACACACATAAACAAACAAACCGACACAGATACATTCCATGGCTAGGAACGTTGGCGGCTATATAGGCCGATTGGCCTTCACTAAGGAATCGAAATCTATCAATTATTGTATCTGTTAAATTTGCTGGCCTAATTTACTCGTCCAATCAATCTTTTGATATGCAATGGACCCCAATTAATATATGAGGGTACTATCCATTTAATGATAGTAATTAATTAAGTTAATAAAATAAATTAGAATAGGTCTAAATAAAAAAATAAAAAAACATTACATTGAACAATGCTATACAAACTTAAAAAATTGATTTAATGATATAATTGTTATATTTATTATTAATATTTATTGAGAACTACTATTTATTTAATTGTAAGGATTCATCAAATCAAATTTTTAAGTTAATTTAGTATTTTTCTTATTTATTATTATTATTTTTGTAGTTCCGAGGTCACATGAGATATTAAATTGAGACTCTAATATTGGGCATATTACAATACTAAACATCATGGTTTAATTCTTCAACTAATAACGCTTTTTTAAGTAATGGCTTAAGAAAAAATAACTTGGTAAACAGCATGGAAGTATGTTTAATTATTATTATTGTACAAAAGCAATAGATGCATTTTGATATATAATAAATAGCACACATTGTATTTGTGCATATGTTGTACTATACACAAAAGTATAAACTCAAAATATGCACATATACCGGCATATGTTGGACATATGTGTATAGTACAACATATGTGTATTATATTTTACACACGTCACGTTGTGGTTGAAAAAAAACAGAATAGACCGGAAGTGTATGCGTCTTCCAAGTAGTTAACCTTTCATTTTCATTTTTCATTTCAAGTGTATACCGATGACCCCTTTTGGCCCATGATATAGACTTTTTCTTTTGTCTGAAAAATGATAAGACTTGACAAATGATAGAAAGTTTTTTATCGAGAAAGTTTAAGGATCAAGATTGTTTAATTTATTAGGAAAACTACAAAGAAAAAAAGTCATGTTCTCAACTCCTAATTGCCTAACCCACCTTAGGATCCCTCGATCAATTGTCACTTTCAATCTTGAATATTTATGAGATAAATAACACAAACTTCAATAAATTTATTTGATAATTTTAAATAGATTTATCTAACAGTTATCAACATTTCTCTCAAAACAATTCACATTAAACCGTGCCTTCGAGATCGAGTTACCCCAAATATGTAACATGCCATGATTTCATGGTTGTTCGGATGAGATCAAATTTTTATGTAGAAAGTATCCTTGCTTGCCCTGCGGCTAATCGAATGAGCAAAGAATGCAAGGAGCAACGGATTGAGCTAGCAATCACCCTAAAAAAAAAAAAAAATTATGCATATGCTTTGCGGGTAATTACAAAAATTATGAGTTACAATGTAAGAGAGTGTTTCAGTCACTTAGGAAACGAAAATATTTCGATATATTTTAGAAATATAATAAAAAAATAAAAAATTTACGAATTATTTTTTCTAAAATATTGATCGAATTATATCAAAGTATCTTAAAATACCATAAAATATTTTGAAATAATTATGTAAATGTATTGAAATATTACAAAACATATCCTAACAAATTTGTTACCATATCAAATTTAAAAGGCAGATGCCCATATCAAAACATGAAGCGAAGATAATTATGGAAGAATCTATATAATATAAAATAAAATAAATTTTAATAAGTTGATACGACAATCTCAAATAGAGTCTTTCAATGATCTCTAATATCCATTTCAAAACTATTCATATTATACTATACTCTCAAATACGAATTATTATAAGATAACGATGTAATCTATAAAATTAAAAGTTTGGCAAAGCGACTGCGATGTTAAATTTTATTGATTGAAAAATGAAGATACGTTACAAAAATATTTATCTTGGTTATCATATGTAGGTGAACCTAACTTTGAACGGGTCAGAAACATCATCAATGGGTAGCCCTCAAGTGTCCCTTACTACTGTTTCAATGATTGCCTTATCCAGTACCTCTGTACCTGGAGGAAATGTTTTGTCGTAGGGCCAAATGATTAAGTGGGTATAAGCCATTTTGCCCACCTCTTCTACATGGCATGTCTATTATCAAAAAGCAACCAGGTAGGGAAAGTGGCTTTTGGGGGGCCAAACCTCAACCCGGGGGTAGTAGTTCATGGGGTCAAGCTTCTTTTGTTCTGGTTCTGGGGTCAAGCTTAAATGAACCTGATCTCTCTCTCTCTCTCTCTCTCATGCAAAAGTCTGTCAAATAGATCTGTTAGATCATATCTGATACTGATCCAGACTTGACTAAGACTGATAGAATATGGATTGATTTTTTAATTTATTCAAATTTAAATTTAAAATCGTTATATCATACTTCATAGATTTTAACATGAACTTATCAATATTCAATCTAATTATATAATCTAATCTTAATTCATTATTATGTTATGAAATTTAATGATTACTTCACGAAATTAAGTTGACATTTTGTGATTTGCTAAAATCAAATATAGTTAAGTTCTTATGAGCGGATCAAATATCTAATGTTTAACGGATTTTAATTATAAAAATGGCGTGAATTGAATAATTAAATCAGATTTTTCAAATGAATTTCAGATTAATCAAAATCTGATTCATTCACACATCTCCCCTATGTCTCAAACGTGTGTGCTCTCTCTCTCTCTCTCTCTATCTCACACACACACACGCCATCCCTAAATATGTATATAGGTGTATACATATGAATTAATAAATGCAAGCAAGTTGACCTACTCCAAGCATCAATAAAAGGAGATTCCGCTTCAAATAAAGTTACACATGCACATCTTTGCAAAAGATGATGAAGTGGCTACCACTCCAAAGAATTCTCAAGCATATTATGCAAGTCATAAAGGACATTTGATATCTCCAAAGCATCCATTGTTACTTTCCAAGCTTCTGATACAAACTTAGAAATGAAGGACATTTTATGCCTCCACAGAATATCCACCTAGTTGATGATGTGCATGGATGGGTATCAATCTGAGTTTTGGCTGTTTTTCTTCAGCAATTTCTGTCTTTTAATTAGATCCCTCACATATTAACCAAGTTTCATTACAGCATCAGATCACAGAGACACCAAATTTTGGACAGTTTAGAAAAATCTATCACACAGCAAAGCAGTTAGGAGGCTTTAAAACATTTTTCTTGCTTAAATGGCGTATGAAACAAGGCTAGTATTTGTCATTTTTCCGTTCTGTAGCACTTTTTAAAGTATTTTTTAGACAATGTTGTATTTTCCATTGTCCAAACATGGCATCTTCCACCTAGTTTAATCATATGCACAGTACCATATGTATACAAACATGTATAATTTATCAATTAGGTACTAAGACGCAACTAGATCACTTTTGTAAAATAATAGGTACACATGTTTGATTTCAAAAATAAAAAAAAAAATAACAGAAGTACTTTCAAAAGTATAGAAAATGGTATCTAAATCTTGTACAGAAACATTTACGTAGTAGTAGTCAAAGGATAATGGGGCTAAAGTCAGAAATAAGTTCTATTTCTGTTTTTTCATCTATCTCAACATGAAGATTGCTTAGTTTGAGCTAAGATTTTGTGTACTCCATTGGGTAGAAGACCGAAATCTCTTTTTTAATATCTCATTTTTGTTCTTCCACTTGTACTAACAATAATCCATATTCAAATGCCCATTCATAGTGTGATTGTGTTACCAATGAAGAGAGGACTGCCAGTGGCTCTATTGGCATTGTTCTTCTACCCTTTTCGATTGCTTCCCTGCAAAAAATTGAAAGAAAATAATTATCATTATAGAAAGGAGAATGGTACGGTATTGAAAAATATTGGTATCATACGTACCATTAAGTTTGATGAGTTTTGTAAATTGAGATATTAGATCATGTTCCAATTTTATGATTCAAATTATAATTTTTTGAAAGTCATTTATGAATTTTAGAATATCTTATAATGAATTTTAAGTTTCCTACTAAATTTATTTTTTAGGTATCCCAGTCTTCTCCTGATAGAATGGAAATGACTACCTTGAGGCAGTTAAAAAGGTTATTCGCCCTACATCACCTTTTTGCTACTTTTGTTTTTCAACTTGTCATTTCAAATGACATATCCAGGGCCAGGGGCAAGTTACGTTTGGACCACCCCGGGCACTCATATCAAATGACATATCTCAATTTACAAAACTTACCTTTGAAGAATGCTACACCTGTTACCACAGTCACCCACGAGCATTTATTGTCGCCCACTATTCTTCCCACTCATAATTATTATTATCATCGCCTATCAGCATAATCTATCACCGTTATCACTATCGTTGTCGCCCGACCACCACCATTGCCAACCATCATCACTATCGTCCACCATCATACCGTCGTCACTTATGGTTATCACCACCACCATCATCATCTAAAACTCACCACTACCATCACCATCACCGTTTCTACCTACGACTACCTCCTCCACCACCACGATAGTCACTGGAGACTACAATGAAATAGGAAAAAATGAGCATACGTCCAAATTTGTCTCGATTGAACTAAGGATGGATTATATATGCGAATCATGCCTTTGCTATTGCCTCTCGTTACTGCTTAACCTCACTATTGCATCGCAAAAATGGACTTAAACTCATCTCCTTCCCGCCTCTGTCTTGCTAAACTCGTAATACAATTTTTAAGGTTCAAATTATAATTTTTTGAAA